ATTCCTTTTCATTACTAAATTCCATTGTGTGGATATATGACAATTGCTTATCCATTCACCATTTGATGGATATTTTGGTTCTTTCCACCTTTGGGCTATTATGAATAATGCTACTATGAATATTCATATACACATTTTTATGTATACACGCATTTCATTCTCTTGGATATGTACCTAGTCCTGATGTGGCACTGTAGACTAAGCACTGGATTGCTAATCACAAGGTTGGCAGTCCAAATCCACCAGCTGCTCCCCGGAAACCCTATCCAGGGTCGCTATGAGTCAGAACTGACTTGACAGCACTTAACAACAATGTATGTTTAATGTTTAATTTTTTTTTTGCTGCTCTGCCAAACTGTTTTCCAAAGTAGTTGTACCATTTTGCATTCCCATCAGCAACGTGTAAGGGTTCTCATTTCTTCACATCTTTATCAATCAATATTTGCTAACATCTGTCTTTTTGAGCTGCTGAGCTTTTTAAAGAATTCTCTTCCGAATTAGTGGTACCTGTTGATCTGGTGGTGAAGTGCCATCGAGTCATTTCCAACTCACAGGAACTCAAAGTGACAGAGTAGAAATGGCCTATACAGTTCCCTAAGAATCCTGGTGATACTGTAGGGTAAACACTAGACTGCTAGCCACAAACTCACCAGCCACTCTGCAGAAGAAAGATGAGACTTTCTGCTGCCATAAGATTTTGTTATTGTTGTTAAGTGCCATCGAGTTGGTTCCAGCTCACAACAACCCTGTGAGGAGCAGCTCACAGCAACCCTCCAAGGAGCAGAGCTTTGAACCACTGACCGTGTGGTTAGAAGTCTAGTACTTACACTACAGTGCCACACCAGGACCAGTTATAGAAACTCAACACAGGGTTCCTATGAGTTGGAATCTACTCGATGGCAGTGGATTTGGGATTCTTTTTAGTTTAATCTTTATGGGAGATCTCTTTCCCATGGAGCCAATGGATGTATTAGAACCACCAACCTTACAGTTAGCAGCTGAGCACTTAACCATTGTACCCCACCAGGGCTACTATACCAAAAATGAAAAATAGTAAAAATCAAATTCTTTCATTTGGACTTTCTGCCCATGACTATGGATGGCTACTATAAAAATAGCAATTCTTACCATTTTAGTGATCTGGATAAAGGTGTCATAACTTCAAACTAAAAATAACTGATCATCACTGTCTATGTTTTCTGTCAGCAGAACACATCAGTTTTGGGGGCTTTCCCCGGTGATGTCAGGCTGGACATGTAGTAACTGGCAGCATCCTCTGCTAATTTTCTTCTTAACTGCTGCATGTTGGAGTGCCCCCGGCTCAGTTTGTGGACTCTTCTCACCCATTTACATGCACTCCCTTGGTGCACTCATTAGGTATGGTGGCTTTAAGTGCCATGGATATGAGGATGATTTCAATGTACATCCCTAACTCAAGTTGTGATCTTTAAGTACCATCGAGTGGGTTCCGACTCATAGCAACCCTGTATACAGTTTCCAAGGAGCAGCTGGTGGGTTTGAACCTCCAACCTTTTGGTTCAAACCGACCTCATGGTCCAGTACTTATTCTACAGTGCCGCACCGAGACTCCTAAAGTCTAGTAGGCTTATCTAACTTGACATGTACAATATAAAATTCCTAATTTCCTCCTAAAATCCCCGTGCCTAGTTCTGTGGTAATACCACTCTTTCAGTGGTTCAGGCTAAACACCTGGAAGTCATCTTTTAACTCTGCTTCCTCTCTCAACCTGCAGCCTTTCCCCCAACTCAACAACTTCTCACAGCTTCCATAACTACTCCCTTCACTCAAGCCACCATCACTTCTTGATGGAATCATGACATTACACTCCAAGTACACTCCCACTTCAGGGCCTTTGCCCTTGCTTTAACCTTAGACGGGCTTTCTCATTCCTCAACAAAATGTTGCTTTTCTTTGTGTGGACTTTTCCTGACCTCTCTATTTATGACTCTGACCCCGTCCTGATATTCCCCCAGCACCCTTCCCTGCTTTACTTTCCTACATAGCATTTATCACCATCTAATATACTGGTCCAAAGAGCTCTGATAGCATAGTGGTTACAAGTCAGGCTGCTAACCTCAAGGTCACCAGTTCGAATCTACCAACCATTCTATAGGAGAAAGATGAGGTTTTCTGCTCCCATAAAGATTTATAGGCACTAAAAGGGGGGAGTAATCTTGCATTAAAGGAACAGAGGACCCTAGGATCATCAAGAGGGAAGAGCAAGAGCAGAACGTGGGATCCTAATCAGAGAAGCAGTGACACCAGAGAAGCAGCGGCACCAGAGATGGAGGCAGAGGTGATGACATGGCGAGATAGAGCAGCTGAGGACTCTAGACTCATGGAAAGAGAAAGGTTGTGTGCTGCTGGCCAGAAGGCTGGCTTGCAAAATGTGCCCTTTGGTTGTTTAAATGATTACATATTCCTGAGTGTTTCTGGGGTACAGCAAAGAAGCCCTAAAAGAGGGGGCGGGGGGATAGAGGCAAATACTGTTAACCAATAGTACATAGAGGGGATTGTAACCATTGCAGTGAAACAAAATATGACTGGTTGACTGCAAAACCAATTTTCTACAATGTAAACTACCACTTAATTCATAATGAAAGCTTTAAAACAAATGTATAGCCTCAGACCCCCCTATGCAGTGTCACTATGAGTCGGAACTGACTTCACAGCACACCACCAACAATATATTGGTCCTTGGTGTGGCACTGGACCACAAGGTTGGTTTGAGCTGCAAGGTCAGCAGTTCAAACCCACCAGCTGCTCCTCAGAAACCCTATACAGGGTCACTATGAGTTGGAACGGACACGACGGCATTTAACAAGAAGAACAACAAAAATATATACTATGTGGTCCTGTAGGATAAGCACTGAACTGCTAACCACAAGGTTGGCAGTTCAAACCCACCAGCTGCTCTTCAGAAATCCTAAACAAGGTCACTATGAGTCGGAACTGACTTGACAGCACTTAACAACAACAACAACAAATATAGTATGTGATACTATAGGATAAGCACTGGACTGCTAATTATAAGATTGGTGGTTCAAACCTACCAGCTGCTCCTCAGAAACCCTATATAGGACTGCTATGAGTCGGAACGAACTAGACAGCAGTTAACAACAACAAATATACTATATAAGGGATTTATCACATTTTTTTTTACACAGCATGGTGTGGCACTTTAGGATAAGCACTGAATTGCTAATTGTAAGGTCAGCAGTTCAAACCCACCAACCTCTCTCAGAAATCCTATACAGGGTTTCTGTGAGTTGGAACCGACTCGATAGCACACAACCACCACCAATCTAGAAACCCAATCTCCTTAGAAAACAAGGGTAGCTTGCACACTACATAGCAACCAAATCTCTTGATCAGCAGAGTCAGAAATAATGGTACCTGGCTCAAAGATAGTGTTTGACCAAGCCATTTTGAACGTGTATCTCTCTCATCAGTCCTTCCAATGACCCAAACTGAAAATAAGAAGCTCTCACTGCCTCCTTGAATTCTTTTTTCCATGACCAGGACATATTAGTCTCAGCAGCAGGCTCCTGAAAGGGCTTACCATACCTCTTCCAAGTCTTCCATTCCAAGGCTTCAACATGGAGTTTTTCCCATTCTTTCCAATTCACTGACATTTTATAAATTCGGGAATGTTTCTGTTTCACTGTGTCAATCATGACTAAACTGATTCAAACTGGTAAGAAGCCCTGGTTTCTACAAGACTTTGTTCATCTCTTACCCACTACTTGTTGTTGTCAGGTGCCATCGAGTCGGAACCGACTCATAGCAACCCCATGCACAGCAGAACGAAACAATGTCCGATCCTGGGCCAACCTCACCACCGCTGCCACACTTGAGTCCATCAATGATGCCACCTGGCCAATCCATCTCATTGGGGTCTTCCTCTTTTTCTCTGACCCTCCACTTTACCCAGCATGACATCCTTCTCCAGCGATTGTTTCCTCCGGACAATATGTCCAAAGTATGAGAGACAAAGCTTAGCCATCCTGACCTCCAAGGAGCACTCTGGCTGCACTTCTTCCAAAACACCCACTACTTAGTACCTATGATAATTATTTATTTACATCTGTTTCTCCCACTACAATGTAAGCTTGGAAACAGAGAATATGTCTTACTCATTTTGATCTTCTCAGCATCTGGAACATAACGGAGTCCTGGTGTGGTGCTGTACGACTGCTAACTGCAAGTTCACCAGTTCAAGATAACCAGCCAATCCCTGGAAACCCTATGCAGGGTCACTATGAGTCAGAGCACTTAATAACAAGGACATAATAAATGCTTGCCAAACTAATGAATGGATAAACTAAACTATTCATTCCACAGATATCTGAGTACCTTCTATGTGCTACAGAAGCTCTGGTAGCGTAGTGGTTACGAATTGGGCTGCTAACCTTAGGGTCAGCAGTTCAAAACTACCAGCTGTTCCACGGAAGAAAGATGAGGTTTTCTGCTCCCATAAAGATTTACAGCCTCGGAAACCCTGTACAGGGTCGCTATGACTTGGAACCGACTCCACGGCACATAACAACAACTATGTGCTAGGCACTATTCTAGTTCAAGAAAGTAGCCAGAACTTTTGGCCTATAAGACCATTCGAACCCTAGGCACGGGGGCTGTAATTTAAAAGCCTTTGGCATTTTATTTGTAGAAATTTCCAAATGAGTCACTTGTTAGTTCCTGTTTAGGAAAGAACCACTTGCCTGATGTTTGTGAGTGGAAATGAGAATGCCTGGCAGTGGTGAAGCATAATACATTTACTCTATTTTCATAAATGTACACTTGAAGAATCCAGGTGCCTATTTCTCAATTTCCAAAAACAAAAACAAAAACAAGCTCTAATTAACACTGCATGGTGCACCTATTTCTCAATTTCATCGTCATCTTCTCTTTATCTCTTTCTGGAGACTGTACTTCAAAAGCCAGCAAAGGAGCAAACAGTAAATGAAGACAAAGCCAAAGTCATTTTGCCAATAAATACTTTAATGAGAACCGAGGTCTGTAACATTCACAGCTGTAATTGCTCTGGCCTATGCGTTCTGCTCTAGCCCACATCTGGGGCTACTGACTACATTTAACCCACATTTGGAACACGGCCATCTTGAAAAGTATCCATCAGTGTCCATCTTCACAGAAGATACCAATCTGGGGCCAGAGTCTCACCGTTAACACTCCCCTCAAAGGGAAAAGTTAACATGATAACATAAACACATAAACAGTTTTGAACCACGCTACTGGTCAATCGGGAAGCCCTTAAGGGACCACAGGTTCAACAAACACTTAAAACATTTTCAAAATACATTGGAACACAGGGGAAAAAAAGAGGGGCGGGGAGTAGAAAGATTGGCAGGGCTGGGTTCACATAGAATTCAGTCCTTAGATTTGAAGCCTTTTGAGCTGCTCATATGTAATAAAAAACTGAGGAGTAGGTCATGGAAAATCACTGGATTGTTACCAAAAGCCAAACTACGTTCTAAAACTGTACATTGTATAATATGTACCTAGCCTGTGCTATTCTGTGCTCTTACATCTTTTTAAAACAGCATCTGTCTTACAATTAAAAAAAAAAAAAAAAACACTATCTGCCAAATCAATCATGCATTGAATACCTACCAAGTGCCCATCATGAACTTTGGCATTTAGCAACATAAACAGACTAAAACGCTAATATACTTACAGTCTTCAAGGATTATTGCTATTGTTGTTAAGTGCCGTCAAGTCACTTCTGACTCATCTCGGCTCTGTATAGGGTTTCCAAGGAGCGACTGATGGGTTTGAACTGCCAACCTTGCAGTTCAAACCGACCTTGCAATCCAGTGCTTATCCTACAGTGCCACACCAGGACTCCAGACACACAAATATAACCCAGAACATTAATGCTATTATCTAATTCAGTACTAATTGTTATAGACAGTAGGTGATCAGAGAAATTTCAAGGAGGGAGAGCTAACCTATCTCTCAGCCTACAGGACAGAGAGCATATGTTTCATTACTTTTCAACTTTGTCATGCTCAACATTATACATATAACCTCTTGCAGCATCCAATGTATGGCTCTGCACATAGAAGGCATGCAACAATTAGAGAGGAGAGCCTCCAATGAGGAAGACACCCTAATTGGCTCTGAAATCCTTCATGCTACAAAAGTTTCCTGTCCTGTTATTATCCAGCTATTGTAGTCCTAAGGAGCTCTGGCTGCATAGTGGTTGCGAATTGGGCTGCGAACCGCAAGGTCAGCAGTTCAACACTACTGGCTGTTCCATGGGAGAAGGATGAGGCTTTCTGCTCCCATAAGGATTTACAGCCTCGGAACCCCTGTACAGAGTCACTATGAGTCGGAACCGACTCCACGGCACATGACAATAATACTGTAGTCCTACGGTTAGAGATCGGAAATGAGAGCCACCTCCACATGTACTTCATGTTTTCACTTCCCCTGTCATGCCTTCCAGACTCTTCACAGCCTCTCCTAGATTGGCTATGTTTGCTGTTCTTCTGTTTGAAAGAAGAAAGTCTGGCATATCTCTTCTCCTCCCTTTTAGTTTGAATTAGCCTCTAATTGAAAGCTGTCTCTCTTCCATCCTCAAACGTCACTATTAGAAATGGTTGAGTTTCTCACTTGCCTAACCGTTTCAATAATCAAAAATTCCTTCCCAAGGCCTAGAAATATCTGGGAGCTTGAAACATTTGCTGTCACTGTCTTGTTCTAAAAGGATACAATGATATTCCAGGGGCCAAGTCGAAGCCAGTTTGGCCAAAATCCTTTATAGAGTGCAAAAAATCCCTCGTGCTTCCACATCTGTAGGAAAGAGACAAGCAAAACACAGAGTGAGGTCCCCTTTCTCTTTACATCTGACAGTCATTTTTATTTTAGTACACACCTTTCACACTCACCCCACCCCCACTGGCCCTAGTCTCTAGCCCAGGAATGATCTTTTTTTCTAAAGAGGTATGTTTGATTTCATATGAAGTCTGTATTTATCCATCTACTCATCCAACAAAACACTTACTCAGCACCTACTCTATGCAAGACATACTTCTTAATGTTGGGGAGTTAACAGTCAAAAAGATGGAGAAAACGACTGTGGTTGCCAGCCTCCAAGATGGCCCTCAATGACCCCCGCCTTTAGTGTGTGTGTGTGGTGGAAAGTAAAAGCCTTCCATGATGTATCAGGATTAGTCTGTGTGACTTATAGATTATGGCAATAGTAGGCATATGCCACTTACAATGCAAGATTCTAAAAGACATTTTATATATAAGGAGGTTTCTTTCTGGTTCTCTCTGAGATCACTCACTCTGGGGAAAACCAGCTGCCATGTTAGGAGGAGAGGTCTCTAGGGAGCTGCCGGTGAGGAACTGAGGGCTTCTTCTAATAGTCACATGAGGAAGCTTAGAAGCCTATGACTTCAGATGACTATAGCCCTAACTTGGCCGCTTTGTGGCAACCTCACAATACAGCCCTAGCCAGACCCCCCCTAGCTAAGCTGCTCTTGAAGCCCAGATCCACAGAAATGTTGAGATAATAAATGTTTTACAACACTGACTTCTAAGGTTATATGTTACACAGCAATAGGTAACTCACAGATTACCTACCCTCATGGAATATACATTCTAGTGGGGCTGACAAGCAAAATAAACAAATATACAAATAGATAACATATTTAATCTAGTCATAATAAGTGCTACAAAGAAAACTCTCAAGCAGGGAGTGTGCCTCAGCACTGTGACCTCTCTATAACACCATGCGGATGAGGATGAAGTGAGGATCCATGTGAATTGCTCTTTATTCCCTCCTTTATTCAGTAGGGATCCTGCACACACCAACAGAGTGAGTGTTAGAGTTCAGTGATAACATATATATCAAGAAGTTCTGGTGTGGTGCTATAGGATAAGCACTGGACTGTTAGCCACAAGGGTGGTGGTTCAAAACCAACAGTTGCTCCTTGGAAACCCCATACAGGGTCACTATGAGTCAAAACCCACTCAACGACTCTTAACAACCACAAATACATCAAAGGTCATAAATCAGTGGCATAGGTGGAATCCAAGCCACAGAAGTAGTCCATATATAACAAACCTTACATGTTAGGCATTGTGTTGTTGTTGTTGTTAAGTGCCATCGAGTCGGTTCTGACCCATAGTGACCCTGTATAGGGTTTCCGAGGAGCGGCTGGTGAGCTTCAACTGCTGACCTTGCAGTTCAAATGGCTTTGCAGTCTGGTGCATTAACCCACAGCACCACACCAGGACTCCCAGGCATTGTGTTGTTGTTAAGTACTGTGGAGTCGGTTCCGATTCATAGCGACCCTGCACAGGGTTTCCGAGGCTGTGAATCTTTACGGGAGCAGAACGCCTCATCTTTCTCCCGCGGAACCACTGGTAGTTTCGAACTGCTGACCTTGAGGTTGGTAGCCCGATTCATAACCACTACACTACCAGAGGTCCTTAGGCATTGTGTTAGGCATTGGAAAATATTTTGCCTTTCCACTGGTGAAGTGAAACCCACCACTATACTAAACACTGGATATATTTGGACAATAACATGAAAAGCCAGGCTTGTTGAATGGGTGAATGTGAAGCTGATGATGTGCCCTGTAAACTTTCACTCAATCCAAAATAAAAACATTTAATAAAAAAAA